TTGAATTATTTAGAAGTAGTGGTGGGTAAAAACCCGAATTAACTATGCCAAAAATCATACAGTCAAGGACTACCACAGGAAAATATTCATGTGCAGTTCGAATATCACCTCCTACATCTGATAGCCTCCACACGCTTACCTATAAGCATACCTGCCAACTTTTAGTCCCTTCCATTATGATTTTTTCCAGTGGTATTAAAATGGAATAAAAATTTAAATTTTAAGCCAGAAAATACGTTGCATTTGAAAAAGCTTAAGCTGACAACCATGACAGCAACGCATATCAATATATATGCTTAATTTTTTTAAGTATAGTGGTGATCAAAATCATTTAAAAATTAAGTTTATAAAAGAAAAAAAAGTATATATTTACTATCACTTTAAATATAAAAATAAAATTTTACGCTAAATGCGTAAAAGTTGGNCAAATTCTATTTTAAAAGTACTTGAGAGAAATTTATCATATATATTTGAGAATTGAATCTGTAGTGGTTGACAAGTAAATAAAACAAACCAATTATATTCTTAAATTAAACAAATTTTTAGACATATATTTGCTACCACTTTCTAATTTTTAATAGATTTCATATTAAATAGTTCTTTCTCTGATTGGTTTAACTTCAAAGAGGTCTGATAAGACTATCTACTTAAAACTGTGTGGATGCCTTAAGTTATACTAGAGCTGCCAACTTTCTGTGCTTTTTGGTAAATTTTAATCCAATGGTCGCTAAGTTTATGTTTTGAAATATTATTCTTTGCTTTGTAAATTTTATTTAAAGTTGTTTTTCATACCACTACATGTGTCTTACACGCTCGGATGAAACATCATTTAGATCTCTAAAGACAAGGCTTATAAAATGTAAAAAGCTTTAGTTTTTAATCGTGTACCACTCTATAAGTTGTTTTGAAGAGAAAAGAGCGTTGTAGTTAGCAGCTTGTTATAATGACTAAATCCAAACCAACGTTACTTGCACTTTTTCTTCAAATTCGCTAACAAGTCCCTTTAAACGGCTTAAAAACTCTTCTTAATTTTGTTATTAACATGATCACTTTTGGCAGTAAGCCCATGATTTAATAAAAACGCAAAAAACTAAATTGAACAAACGCTTAAATCGTATCATTTTTTTCAAAATTTCTATTTTGTAAAACTTTTTTAAAATTTACCGTATTAATATCCTTCTAAATTAGCTTGAATCAAACTTAAAAAAAACGCTTGTTTTTTCATACCTCCATTACCTATAACAGCTCGATTGATTACAACCATTGTAAATTATTGCAATGATCCTAAGAAGTGTTATAACGAAAAATGGAACAGTCGTTGGGAATAGACACTTTACCCGCAACTTTTTTTAGTTTTTTTTACATAAGTGTGGCGCTTTTATGTCGTATCGTATAGTTATTGTAATTAAATTAAATTAAGGAAACTTATTCGTCTTAAATTTAAACAAATAATATTTTATTTGTAATCAAACCATTTTATCAGTAGCATTTACAATTCAACCAATTTAGCATTATAACATAACTATTTTAGTGTTAGCCTTTACAATTAAACCAACTTAGCATTACAATATTAGTGTTAACATTCTTTTAGAATACAAGGAGAGATAGTTTACTCATGGTGATTTCCTTTCGGTATAAGCATAGGGGTAACATTGTAAGATTTTAGCCTAATTGTTTATTTGAATTACTCTATCAGTATTTCAGTTACTATTTGCCGATGGAGATTTCCCACGGTAGTTTTATTTAATCGAAAACTTTGACATGTTCTTGAAATCTAATTTTCGCCCTTTCTCTTGATTTTAATTTTGAGTGACGATAAGCGTCACATAAAATTTTTGACCGTATCTTAAATTTCTTCGCGTCTCTGATTTCTAATCTACACTCGGTTTCTCTCTGTAGGCTAAAATTTTTGTGCAATTTAATAATAATTTAATCATAAGAATTTTTTTAAATTCACTTGAGTGAATACCTTGTTTTACTATTCTCTGCTACGTAGGGAATGGTGGTAGATAAAAGGCAGTAATACATTTCCGTATATGAGACAGTACTGTAAGGTCATATGTTTTTTTTTGTCTTATATGTTATTTTCAGAGGAACAGTCAAGTATTTGTTTGTAAACCTATAATTTCTTTAAAAACTTAAATGCTCAAATGAAAAATGAACTAAACTACATTATTTTGAAAAACATCTGCGGCTTTCCGAACAAAACTAATTTTAAAATTTAAAATGCCTTCACCCGAATTAAGTACGATCAAGTACTTGTAAAAGTGCAGCAAGGAATTTGCTTCCCAGTGTAATCTGCTTTTAGATTTTTATGAAAACCTTTTTTTCTAAGTTTCAGTGACGTAAAATAAGTTTTAAATTTTTTTTCAAAGTTTCTAGCACGTTTCTAAGTTTTTTTTCTAAGTTTACATTTTAAGTATCAATGTGGAAAGAAAATTATAATGAAAGGATTGGAAAAAAAAATTCTATACCTAACTTTTGACAAAAAATTTATAGATAAATAACTCTGCAAGACAAGAGTTAGGAATAAAATCAATTTATTGAAGTAAAATTTTTTTTATTAAGAAAAGATTCCAGTTATATTGAATCGAATCATTTCGGGGATTAATTCATTATCTTGTTACTGAGAGTAATAAAAGTATTGAAAAGTTAATTAAAAGTATTGAAAAGTTAATTAAAAGACGGATCATTTGCAAAGAGCGTTACTGAGAAGGAAAAAAAAGAGTAAAAAGTTATTGAAAAGAAAGTTCTAGCGAAAAACCCCTGAAACAAAACTCTCTTGTTCACTATCATAATAAAATTCATTCTCTTAAGTTAACTGTTAAAGCGAATCATTCGTAATGAGTAGTTGGCGTGTTAAAAGTTTTCCTAGAGCATTTTAATTAAAACTTTAGGAAACTATCTTGATGTTAGCGAAACTATTATAATTCTGTGTTCAAGTTTCTTAAATGTTAACTATTTAAATTTGGAGGGTTAAGGAGGGGACGTATAGATTAAGATTGAATTAATTATTTTTAGTTTGGCTCAAAACATTCAATTATATTCAAGAATACCTTGCTTTGGTTGTAAAAGTGGAAAATATTGAAGAGGAATATATATTTATTAATATATGTATATATTAATAAATATGACATTATTTTATATATTAATATTATATTTATATGATTTTATTATATTTATATTTTATTATAGTTATATAATATATATGACATTATTTTATTAAATATTTGAATTATTGTATTTAACTTAAATCTAAAGTTACAACTTAAATTATGAAATCGTAAGGAAATAATCAAGGAAATTCTCAAAAAGCTGGAAAAATTAGCCGGAATGATAGTGTAAATCACTTACGCCTTTCCGTAAGTGAAAATCGATCATTAGATTAACACGTCTGTCAACATTTCACTCTTTTCGGGAAAAGTTCTTCTAGGATTTTTATCTTAATGTTTTGATTCTCCATTTTTTTTTAAACTTTAAAATTTTTTAATGTCTTTTTTAATGTTTTGATCCTCAATTTTTCTCAAAGGAGAAAGTGTCTATATGGGATATATGTTTTTGATAGCTTATATTTTATAATAAAGGATTCCTTTATTAGCTAATTTTAAAAAGAACGAAACAGATTCTTTAGAAGAGATGGCAACTGCTTGAACTTATACAAAATATTTTGTATAGAGGTAAAGTATTTAACACCATAATTTTCTAATTCCATAATTTTGCGTTTTAAATTTCAACGTTTCATTAACACTAGGTTTACGGGACGCGTCATTTTGACGAATTTCGATTTTATATGGAAAATTATAAAACCCGTTTGCATTTTTATTTTATCTCTTGTAATGACTTTTATTCATTGATCGACGTAAATATGTATTGAAGTCTATTTTCTTCAAAAGCGTTGAAATATTGAAATTCTCTTTGTGGTATACCTATCTCTAAGGATAAGCGTCAATTTGACGCGATCGTAATTTAGACAAAATTTTGAGTAAACATGCGAACATCACATCAATAATAAATAGGAATGTACCGACAATGCTTCGATCCGTTATCTTAAATGAAACAAGCGATAAACAACTGTTGCCGATAAGCAATAATAGAAGGAATAAACGTTAACTGATGTCAGAGCGTCAGATTTCGAAGGTTTTGTTGCTTAGTTCGAGTATTGAAAAATAAAATACTAGAATATTTCATAAATGTGTATCTCATAATTTTCTTTTCTTATAGTATATAATTACATTGTTTTCTAAATGCAGAGATGCCAACTGCTCCAGACACGCCAAAATAATTTTAAAAAAACGGTAAATAACTACTAAGCAAATTTGCAAATATTAAATGGCGAACTATATAAGTCTACAAATTATTTAGAAATGGTGGTGGATAAAAATCGACTAAATTGAACTTATTAAAGCAGGAATCACAATTGATAAACTACCACTTTAAAATATATATTTGCTGTCCTGTGCAAGTTGGTATCTCTATAAGTGCTGTTATATGTGTTCGTGGAGATAGGTATATAAGAAACGTCCGTTCACAAAACATTTAAAAACTCTCTCAAAGAGCTTGCAGTCTTACCATATATATGTTTAAATTATTAAAATTGGATGGATGGCATAATAATTTTAAACCGCATTTATTTAAAAAAGAATAAATATGATTATAAAAATTTATTACCACGTTAAAAAAAAAGAATTAAATCTGGAGGAGTTTACATCACTGCATGGTTTTTAAACCACTTAAATGGTCAATATATTAATAGCATCTTTCTAAAAAAAGTTGTAGTACATATTTTTCTTGCCTACCATTTTACCTTTAAAGAAGCACTGAGGCCGGATTCCTGATTCAAATATGAATATTCATATTTTTAATAAATTACGGTAGGCAGAACTGTCTGTCTTATTCCTGCAAAATAAATCTTATTTATAAAGAATTTTTATGATAATCTTAATTATACTGTAGACTACCACTTTTTTTTCTTTTTTGAATAAAAGACGCTAAGCACAAATATGTCAAAGGTAAACTACTACATAATTTCTTTTAATGGTAAAACTCAATTTCTTATTTATTTCTTAAAGTGTATCTTAGAAAAACAAAACATTTGTGTTCACCGTAACATAATATTGAAGTAGTAAGGCACGATTAATCTAAAAACCAAAACATACCCTATTTGAAAACTAAAGTGGTAGCCAATTCTAGAAAATATCAATTTTGTCTAAGCATAAATGCACTACTCCGAACAAGATTTTCGAAACCAGGGACCCTTAATGATGCGCTTTCCTGTTTGGCATTTTCTTAAAAAAAATTAAAAAATATTCTTGACTTTTTTTAGTTCAGGTAACAAATTTAAGAAGAAATAAAAGCCTGTATTATAATTACAGCCAGGAAGAAAATATCTAAAAAAAGAAAGAGAGTCGTTAGAAGTCACTGGATTGTAAATTAGCACTCGGACCCTGCCATATCATTATTCAAAGAAGTAATTTTTACATCACTTCAAAATATTACGTTATAAAACAGTAAACAAAAATACGTTGACAGAGAAAATTTATATTGAACCATATGAAGATTGCACGTCATTTCATTGACAATTAAGAAGAAAATATTTATAAAAAAGAAACGTTATAGATCATTTCGTACAGCTAAAAAGACGCAACTTTTTTATTAGTTAAATACGAATAAGTTACAAGAAAAACGGAGAAAAATTGGTATTTTCTTCCTTTACAATGATGAATAGAATCTTTTCAGTAAGATATAATCTCTCTATAAGGTACTTGAATCACAGCAGATTCACCTTTTATGATCTCGATGAAATTATAAAAGAAAAGAATGTGCCCAAAGTAGATTCTTAAGCCTTCTAGCTTGGCAATAAAGGATCAAAAGCATCAAGGACCCCCACCTATGTTATCATTCTGTTAAATCTGACAAATCAAAGTTCGACTTCGAACTAATTACAGGACACAAGCAATTCTCACCAGCACTCTTCTACGCCAGAAACTTGATGGTTAAGTTTGGCAAATATTATTTTCCTGACATGCCTTGTTATTGTTATGTTAACACAGCTGTGTTAGCCACATTCATAATCGCTTTGGTATGGCAACATTTATCAAAGGCTTTAAAAAAACATAGGTGAGGAAAAAAACTTACGTCAGTAACAAAGTCATGTGGATTTTGTGNTACGAAAGGTACTCGGACGAGCACTTCTTGACGAGGAAGGTCTGTCCACGGCCCTCATTGGAATAGAAGCCGCTCTGAACAGCCGACCATTGATATACGAAGATGACAGTTCCACAGCCTTAACACCAAGCCATTTCTTGACAGGACGGAAACTAACGGCCATTCCATCCAGCCCAAATAACAACACAAAGCTAAGAAAATTCTACAAGCAGCAGCAGGACTTACTCGACTGCTTTTGGAAAAAATGGTCTAAGGAATATTTGCTTCAATTGCGGTCATTTCATCAAGTTCGTAATCAGGACAATATCATTAACATCCGAATTGGCGATATTGTACTTCTACAAGAAGATGTCCGACCACGTCACATGTGGAAGAAAGCTAGAGTGGTGAACTTGCATGAAGGACGAGATGGAAAAATAAGATCCTGTGAGCTGAGAGTTAATGGTCACAATATAACCCGTCCGGTAGCTCTGGTCATCCCCCTCGAGGTCGACAAGGGTGGGGAGGATGTTGAGGTTTGAGTTCGAGATTAGTTAGATAGTTTGAGTTTCCTGTGCTGGCAACATCTTATTATTTCTATATTCTTTTTATGTAAAAAGTTAAGTTTTCAGTTTGTTCTACGTGACTTTCAGTCTGATTTGCTCTCAACAAAATCCAGCAGTAGTTATAATAGAATAATTTGAAATGTATTTAAGTTGCATTTCATTTGATACCTTGGATTTTCTATTTGCAGAGGTGAAAAATTACTTAACATGATAATAATTAACTAAAAATAAGTTAAATTTCGTTACCACTAGAAAATACTTTTTTTTTACAAAGCGTAGCAAAGTTGGCATCTCTGTCTTTCACTCATATTAAAATAAGCTAAAAACCTTTAATGTAAGTCATGGTAGTAGTTATAATAGAATAATTTGAAATGTAAGTCGTAGTAGTAGTTATAATAGAATAATTAAAATCATTATAAATAAATAAAAATAAATTTAGTTTTTATCAGGGTTGTATACCTGCCAAGATTTTCCCCAGTGGTAGTGGAATGGAATTTAAATTTCAAATTTAGGCAGAAATATAAGCTATATTTTGAAGATGCTTAAGCTAACTAACACAACTTATTTCCATATTATTATATATGTTTAATTTTTTTAAAAAATAGTGGTGGTAAAAAGACTGTAAATTAAGTTTATAAATGCAAGGAATATATAGGAAACATACATTTTACTACCACTTTAAATATAGAAATAAAATTTTACGCCAAATACGTAAAAGTTGGCAGGTATGGGGTTGCTAGACTTTGAAACTAAAAAATACTACAACTTAATCTGAAAAAATACTGCGCATTTTGAAGTGCCATCTACAGTACTAAATTGGAAGTTTAAATAATATAGAAGGATAAAATACTTTTAAATGAAGAATAATTAATAATACTATTAAAGGGATGAAATAAAGGATAAATTACTAGGAATAAAATAATTTTAAAATAGAAAAACAATGATCTTTTCTCTTTTGTGTACTTATACTTCAGGTAAACGCGTAGTAACAAAGATTTATATCAGCAACTTCGTCTTATAAGAATTGTGTGTATGAGTTATTATCTACAAATAAGAAAACAAACTTTTATTTCTTATAATCATCACTAGATAGAGAGATTAGAATAAAACAAATGGTTTGCGGTGCATTTTGATTTTCATGGCGACTACTATTTAAATATTTAAAACGACGCCAAGCTAGAATAATTTGCATTAAGTTTGTGGCTTCCATATCTGGTAGTCACTGGTCATTGTGGAAATCAAGATGTATCCGGTTAACTTATTTCAAAAATCGCTTTTTACTTTAAAAAAACTATTAGTCTTTCTTGTCTTTGATTTAAAAAAATGTTAAACGATATATAAAAAATGAAACATACCACTTTTTTAAAAAATACTACAATTATTATATTGTAGTATTGTATATAACATAAAGTACTTTTGGAAAAAAAAAGCCGAAAAAAAATCTCATGAAATAACCAAATATATATACGTTTAAATTTTTATATATAGTTGTAGTAAAACTCATTTTAAATCACACTTATTCTAATAAAAGAATTGTGAATCCGTACATTTTGCTACATGAGGTAGAGAAGAAAATAAAAAATCTTCCGGAAAAACTCGAAAAGCTGACAAATATGATCACATTAACGAGAAACTGCTATTTATAACAAAATGTTTTAACTCCCTTTGATACCTTGTTATCAGAACTTTCGCTGTTTCCAAATTAATCAAAACAGCTGCGAGCCCTACACTAATCAAGTTTGCTGATTTTAATGAAAACGTGTAATTAATACGGCTTCCTTATAATGAAAATAATTTGAAAACTTTAAAAACATTGTTTTCATTTATTTAAACAACTTCATTCTATTTCAGAATATTTTAAAAACTTATTCTTTTAACTAGCATTAGAAATGCAATGTGTTATAAATAGTTCATAGCTTTTTAAGTACATAAATTTGAAAATACTCTAAAAGTATTATTTTTTTTAATTAAAAAACATAAGATGAAGTAAGTTCAGCTCATTCCGAAGGGAGTAATGGAAATTTTTACAAAATTAATAATTCAATTATACAAGTAGGAAATAAATAAAATTTAAAAATAATGCAATACACTCTATACGGAAAAACAAAATAAAAGTTATTGATATAATCTGCACATAAATTCCGACTCTAAAATCTTTATTTCTTACTTAAAGCTCTAATTGGAATAAGGAATATATTAAAATCTTCAAATTTATAATCAAAACCTTAAACGAAATAATTAATATATGCAATATCTTAAAATAATTTATGAATAATTCATATAATAAAATTAAGTACGATTTATTTTTAAAGAACCAAATACTGAATAAAATGGTTAATAAATAACTTACGAGACTGAACTGCCAATTTTCTACGCTTTTTGTAAAAAATTATTCCAGTGGTTCTTAAGTTTATGTTTTATATTTATTTTTTGAATTTATTTTCCACACCGCTACACGTAAATGATCTAAAAGATTATACGCAACGCCACTTTTTTTTCAAGCTCGATCGTGGTAAAGTTTTTAAAATGTTGGCAAAATTACAAAAATTGTGAAAACTTTGGTTTTTAAATACCTACAACTCTATAAAATATTTAACAAAAAACTTAGTAGTTGACAGGTCTGATGAAATTGAAAATATTGTTTTTGGCTGTGCGGCGGAACGTAAAAATTCCTATTTCTGTCGCTATAAGAATTGTTTTTTTAAGCAAAGTGGAAGGATACTTAATTACCCAAGAGAGATTTGCCAATTCAGAAGTTCTAGCTCTCGAAATTGTTTTAAGTGTAAGGTGATCAGCAGTTATAAGCAACGGTTCTTCAACCCTTTTGGGACGGGCGAGTCATAAATGCGTAATGAATCAGTATCAGGACGGTAAAATATAAAAAGCGGTAGCTTAAATATGGGCATAGCTAATTTGACAAATTTAATTTTGTTTTCACTTTAAATCTAACACATCCACTGCAAGTGTGTTAAAGGTATAACTACGCAATTTTTAATTCGAACTAAGTAGTGGTGTGAGTTAAATAAAGCAAACAATCATTACCCCGCCCACAAATAAACTGCTATAAAATTGTTTTTATCTTTTTTTAAACCCTTATTGTAGCCACCCTGAGAATGCCTATATGATTCGCCCGTCTCGAAGAGGTTTAATTTTGCTATCACCTAACGCAGATATGCCAACTTGCTTTGCTTTGGGAGAAAAATATTTTCAAGTGGTAGCAAAGTTAAAATTAGTTTTAATTTGGTAAATTTCGATTTGTTTTGCCGCCACTGCGTATTAAAAATATTAATCTTCGTATAAAATACATTCTTGTAGCAATCACATGTGTGCCATTTTTATGGCCGTTAGAAATAAAATGTTTCTAAGAGATAGTAACATTTTGACTTTCTAAGACTTTATTTTAAAGTTTCCAGAAAGTATTTTTAACCTTCACGACGAATCAATAATTTGAAAAATATGAATATTTGATCGATTTGTTAGCTTGTTTAGCTCTTAACCTTTTCGGGACGGGCGAGTCATAAATGTAGTCGATCAGAATCAGGATAATCGAAAATAAAAGGCTGCAGCTTAAGTTTGGGCATAGCTAGTTAGACAGGCTTATATTTACTTTAAATTTAACACATATCTCTGTGTGTTAAAAGCGTAACTGCACAATTCTTAATTAGAACTAAGTAGTGGTGAATTAAATAAAGCAAACTATTATACTACAAACAAATAAACTGCCATAAAAATAATTTGGCTACCAATTTCATCGTTTTTACCCTGATTATCGACACCCTAAAAATGCATAGATTACTAGCCCGTCTCGAAGATGTCAAAAGTTAAAAAAAAGTTCAGTCCTTAGAAAATATTTCCAATTTTATCCTTTTTTACTACCACTTTGTAATATTTTTTTCAGTGATCGTACAAGTTGGCAGGTAGGCAATTACCGGATGCCACTGGCGATTAAAAATGTAAACAGTGGTAAAAACTCAATTAATTTTTATGATAATATTTATTCAATCGTAACTACCGCTAGAACTTACGTTTTAAAACGAAAACAATCTTTGTTTTCACTTTCAAAAGTACAATACTGAAAATTGTATACTATGAAAAGTTACAAATTTTAATCTTTTTCAACAAAATTTTGAATTTTATTTGTAACGACTTTTAGCATTTTAAGCCATGCTATGCAATTATAGGGATACCAACTGTTTCGCTTTCTGCAAAAGTTTTATAAATCTGGCACCAAATATAATAGCAAAACTTGCAGCATAGGGATATCTACGCTAAATCTTTTAAAAGTTCACCATGAGATAAATGTTATTAAGTGGCATTTGATATGATATTTTGAAATTTGAAATGTAGTGGTGGAAAAATTAAAATTATCGAAATTTCAAAATGAAAAATATTAAACTAAAAATAAATTAAAGTTACCACTAGAAAATAATTTCAAGTCGGCATCTCTGCATTTTTCTCGCTGTCGTCTCCTTTATTCTACAAGTTTTTTTTAATCCACTAACAATTAATTAAAACTTTTGCATAAAGTGAAGCAGTTCAGAGATTCCAACTGCTCCGGACAAGACAAAATATTTTTAAAAACGATAGAGAACTAAAACCTAAATTTTGCAGGTTTTTGGTAAATTTTGCCGATTTTTTAAGATGCTCAACACGGTATAACTACTGCAAAGGGGCGTATAACTTAAACCCTTCAATTATTTTGAAGTGGCGGTATGTAAAAACCTATAAATCGAATTTATTAAACCAAGAGTCTAACATTAAAAGACTACCACTCGAAAATATTTATCCGCTGTCATGACAAGCTGGCATCTCGGGCTGTTGGTATCCCTGCTATTATACATTTTGTTGCATCCTCATCACGAAGATTTACCTGGGTGACTGAGGCCATCATGAAGTTTTCCCGCTAGGTGGTACATTTTGGTACTTGTTTTATTTGCATTTCCGACATTCATAACATACCTTTCAATTGTTTATCTATTGTGGTGGTCAAAATCTTTTCGAATCGATTTCTAAAACTAAAACCCAGCTTCCGTTTTAAATATTTGGGAAAAATCTCTATCTAAAAGTCGAAGTTGGCAGATCTGCTTAAGATTTACCTAAGAGAATATTTTGTTTGTGCTAGCTGCCATTTTGGTTTCTGAAATGTGCCTAAGCACATCCATAATTTAAAATAACACAAATTTCGAAAGAAATGTATAGTGCATTACAGGCCTGACAACAACTACGCTTTTCGTAAAATATTTTATTGAGTGGTGGATATTCAAAAACCAAAGGTTGCATAATTTATGGTTATTTCACTAACAATTTAAGAGCCTCACCACAATTGAGCTGGAACAAAGTGGCGTTGCTTCTGAACTTTTAAATCATTTATTTGTAGTGGTGTGGAAAACAAGTTTAAACGGATAAAAAATAATACACTAAAACATTAACTCAACTACCACTAGAATAAATTTTTACAAAAAGCGTAGAAAGTTGGCCGCCCTGGTATTAACAATAGAATTACTAGTCTTACTTTATTTATTTTTATTTATTTTCTTTTCTTTATTTTTTTTCCAAAAAAGAAAGCCCTTAAGTAGAAGCCTTGAAGTCCAATGGTTTTTCAATGTGTAAACATTAGTCGTACACGGATCTATCAAATTATATTTTAATTTATTATCGCAATTTCTTGAATATTAATATTTTATTTTTCTATCTTTTTGAGGGGGAATCCTAAAATGAGAGCTGTAAAATATAGATTTTTTTAAAAACAAATGTGTATACATTGGGGTACTAGCTTCTCATACAGTTTTTAAAAATCTAAAATTTCTCATTTTTTTTAATAAAAAAAAAAAGGAATTGGTATATAAAAGCAATTTATTTATTATAAAAGATAAGATTATACCATTTGCACTAGATAATGCTATGGATAAAGGATATTATAGAAACAATTTTCTAACCTTTGTTTTGTGATGATTTCGTGTAAATGAATGAATATGTATGAATGAATGCGTGTAAATAAATAAGTGAATGCTAAAGTGTAAATTTTTTTTTATTATTCTGTGGCATAGATTGATCTGAAAAAATAGTTTTTTTTTGTGTACAATGCGCAAAGTAAAAAACGAAACTCCCGGAATAACTTTTGATCTAATGATCGGATTTTCACGCATTAGTATTCAACCTTAATGTTGCGAATGCCTGACCTCAAATATTATCAAGTGCAGACGATATTTTAAGTTACGAGATCCGACTCAAAAAACGTATATTCTCCGAATACCCCTTTTTTCGACAGAAATCGGACAAATAGTTCTCAAGAAATCAAGTTTCGAATGTACGTCTTTTTTAAAATTCGATATATCTGAAATTATTCGACCAATTGCATTAAAATTTTGTATTTTGCCATTTTAAACTACATTTTCTACAATGACGCAAAAGTTTTTAAACGTTACTATTCAAAATGTTTTAGACTATTATTAAATAAAGTATCAAAAAGTTGTAAGTATGTATTAAAAATTATACTTGCCATGACATTTTCTTTGACTAAACTGATTCTCCATTTGTATACAAAATTTCTTTGATTTGCTTAAAAATAGGCCTGTGTTTTCGAGATAGCAGTTCCCCCCCCTCCTCTATTTTGAAGGTCAAGAATACGAATCCAACGCGAAAAATTTATGTTTATTCATTGGAAGTAGGTTTTTCGTGTCATATTTCATAGCTGAAAATATCACTAGCACTAATTAATTGCCATATTTGATGTCGGTTCCTAGAACCACGAGGATTTTTTTTCTTCTAATGGCCGCCTGTGTTAACATCCGTCAATTCAGGCATCTATAGGGCGATTTTGTTGACCTCTGTTACAGGGACACCATAATAGGTGGGCCGACGTCGCTCCCACAGTAAGGACAGATAGTACAGAGAAGGAAAGAACATCCATACCTTGGCCGGAATTCGAACCCAGAACCTTTCTGATGCAAGGACAGTGCCCTGCCCCTACACAGGTCGGTCGGCTAGAACCATGAAGATGGAGTCCTAGAAAATGAAGATCCGATCATTAGATTAAAAGTAACACTGTTACTAAGCTATTAAAAAAAATACATCAATTCATTTCAAGTTTATAATTGGTTTCTTGAGTTGCCGTGATTTTACGATTGAAAAAAAAAAAGACTGAATGATATAACTTCGATTTCCTAGCCAAATAATTGCGTCCGCAGAAGCACTATATAAAATTATTTCAGCCTTACCGAAGACAAGAATTCACAATTAATTAAATTAGATTAGATTCACCAGAGAGATAAATGACTTTCCTGAAATATTCCACGTCTCCTGCTTAGAGAGTGATTANTCTCTTTCCGTTTTTAAAAATCACAAATTTCTGATTTTTTTTTTTNTTTTAGAAAGAAAAAAAAAAGAATTGGTATATAAAAGCAATTAATTTATCATGAAAGATAAGATTATATCATTTGCACTAGATAATGCTATAGATAAAGGATAGTATATAATTTTTTCTTTTTTTTTGTGTGATGATTTCGTGTAAATGAATGAATGTGTATGAATGAATGCGTGTAAATAAATAAGTGAATGCTAAAGTGCAAAAATTTATTTATTATTCCGGGGCATAGATTGATCTGAAAATATAGTTTTTTTGTGTCCAATGCGCAAAGTAAAAATCGAAACTCCCGGAATAACTTTTGATCTAATGATCGGATATTCCCGCATTAGTATTCAACCTTAATATTGCGAATGCCTGACCTCAAATATTATCAAGTGCAGACGATATTTTAAGTTACGAGATCCGACTCAAAAAACGTATTTTCTCCGAATACCCCTTTTTTCGACAGAAATCGGACAAATAGTTCTCAAGAAATCAAGTTTCGAATGTACGTCTTTTTTAAAATTCGATAGATCTGAAATTATTCGACCAACTGCATTAAAATTTTGTATTTTGCCATTTTAAACTACATTCTCTACAATGACGCAAAAGTTTTTAAACGTTACTATTCAAAATGTTTTAGACTATTAATAAATAAAGTATCAAAAAGTTATAAGTATGTATTAAAAGTTATACTTGGCATGAAATTTTCTTTGACTAAACCGATTCTCCATTTGTATACAAAATTTCTTTGATTTGCTTAAAAATAGGCCTGTGTTTTCGAGATAGCAGTTCCCCCCCCTCCTCTATTTTGAAGGTCAAGAATACGAATCCAACGCGAAAAATTTATGTTTATTCATTGGAAGTAGGTTTTTCGTCTCATATTTCATAGCTGAAAATATCGCTAGTACTAATTAAGTGCCATATTTGATGTCGGTTCCTAGAACCATGAGGATTTTTTTTCTTCTAATGCCCGCCTGTGTTAACACCCGTCAATTCAGGCATCTATAGGGCGATTTTGTTGATCTCTGTTACAGGGACACCATAATAGGTGGGCCAACGTCGCTCCCTCAGTAAGGACAGATAGTACAGAGAAGGAAAGAACATCCATACCTTGGTCGGGATTCGAACCCAGAACCTTTCTGATGCAAGGACAGTTCCCTGCCCCCTACACAGGTCGGTCGGCTAGAACCATGAAGATGGAGTCCTAGAAAATGAAGATCCGATCATTAAATTAAAAGTAACACTGTTACTAAGCTATTAAAAAAAATACATAAATTCATTTCAAGTTTATAATTGGTTTCTTGAACTGCCGTGATTTTACGATTGAAAGACTGAATGATATAACTTCGATTTCCTAGCCAAATAATTGCGTCCGCAGAAGCACTATATAAAATTATTTCAGCCTTACCGAAGACAAGAATTCACAATTAATTAAATTAGATTAGATTCACCAGAGAGATAAATTACTTTCCTGAAATATTCCACGTCTCCTGCTTAGAGAGTGATTAAAATTTAATTTATAAAATCGAAATTGTTATCGAATTACATGTTGCACACTTACAGATTTATTTCGATTTAGACAAAAGTTTTTTTTAAACTATGTTAACATTTTGAAGGAAACAGGAAACAATCTTTGTATTGGCTACAAAAGTTTTTGAAACTTTTACGCAGCTAAACTGTTAGTAAATTTTAAAAATTATGATCAAATCTTATAAAAATTAATGCCATTTCTTTCTATGCAAAAATTGCATCAACCGAATTAATGGAGAGAAATGTAAAGCTTGTCTCTCTTTAAAAAAGTAGATTTTCCGATTACTTTTTTCTAATTGTTACCTGCTACATTTAAATGTATAAGCTAGTGTGCTCATTTTGTAGTGCGGCTTATAAGCTCATGTCAAGACAACAACAAATAGAAGAAGTTAAAAGTACGTCACAAGGCAGGGTTGCCAAAGGGAGTCTAAAATAAAAAAAGTGGTGACTGATAAAATTCAACATTTTATTAATAAACATCAAAATAAGCTACTTTTTCTAGCACATTATTTTCAACTTACTATTGAAGGCGTACTTAGCAACTCTCACTCCTTCATCTAGTGATAACCTTTCGGTAGCTGGTACTACTGGTATACAATACTCAGCGATCTGGTCTGATCTGTTTGGTGAAGCTGGGCGCCTAAAACCTAAAAGGCCATTTTCCCATTCATCTTGTAATACAGATGCTTAAGATATAAAAAACTGTGTGGATGGCTGGAAACACAAATGGCACTAAATGAAACAAAAAAAAATGGCACGTGCCATGGTATTAATTAGAAAAGGACATAAATATACTGTTATAATTATATACAACAAAACAAATAGAATTATTTACCCTTATTTGCAAAAGTATTTGTGAGTATTACGAATTGAGAATGGAAGTTGATCTTAAACTTGAGTTAAATCGAAATTCAAAATATTTATGGCCCCTTCAGTCTTTATAGGCATTCAACCTTATTCAGTCTTTTTGGTGTTATTATTGTTATTACCCAACAATGTTTCAGTTTTTCAGTTGCTATATTATTTTATGATTTCGGTCAACAAAAGGCTCTTTGCTCCAATTTTTTAACATTTTAAAAATTGCTCATATTTTTCCTCAAAAATGTGGCGAACAATCAATTAATCTGGAAAACACCTTTAGAACTGGAATTTCATGACCTCATTTAATTGTACATTTGATTTTGTAACAAGCACTTCAATGTATTTTTAAATCCAATTAACTGCTAAATTGATATAATATTCATTTGTTTTAATCACGCCAGCGCCACCATTTTTTACTATAAATAAAAGCAGTACTTTGCTCACTATTAAAGATAACAAGTAACAAAGCAGATGAACAAAATGATATAAGGTGTTCGAAAATCGATTTATGTAATAGCTATGGTGTGCTTATCCTGAATTCTAGACACACTGTCTGCCTTCTCCACTACAGTTTATATTCCCATCTTTTGAAATGAATGGTGTCACGTGACCAGTTTGTCACAAAAACCTCCAGTGTGAACTATAAATCTAGTCCATACCTGCTAGTAGAGCAAGCTTTTTAGTTTAATGGAAATTCAAGATATACGTCCAATATGCAACAATGTATACAAAATTACGTGACTCCTTGCGGCTCTTATCTTTCAAAAATTACTCCATATATTATTCATTAAATCTGATTTTCAATGATTTTTATAAATCAAATGACGTTTTACGAAAATGAGATTTCATTTGACTCATTCATTATTAATGAACTAAAGTAAGCACTTTACGTCTTTTATGTTTTAAAACTCAATTACTGATGGGAATGCCAAATCCAAAACCTAAGATATTTATTCAATGATTGGGTAATGTAGACGATTAAGTGACTTTTCAGAGAGTGCACTGTCAAACAAAATAATAGCATTTCATGAATTAATATGTTTTTTTCAGTTGTAGAAAGTTTTTGGCCGTTAATAATGATAGTTTAGTAAAAGTAGCTTTTCAAAGATTTTAATTTTTAGCCACTGAGAAGTTCTGAGTGTTATTAATTTCTGTTTAGTTAAAATTGCTTTTCAACGATTTTATTTTCATACGGAATAACAACAGTCCTTGAATTAAAATGTCAGTGTTTAGCTGTTGAGGATCTGTGACTGTTATTAATATCTGTTACGTTAAAGTGCTTTGCAAAGACTTAATTCTCATTCGAAATGATAATATTGCATGAACTGATATGTAGCTAAATAATTAGTTGTTGAGAATCTGCGTCGGTTATCTATCTATTTGTCTATATCTAGCGTTTTGATGTATTTTTAAACCTAACTAATTTCTAAATGAATATGATATTCTTTTATTTTAACCCTCAATGTGCTACCATTTTTTACATATAAAAAAGCAGCACTTTTCTCACTAATACAGATAGCAAATAACAAAACAGATAACACTTTCAGAACTGAAATGTCATGCCCTAATTAAATTATACATTTAATTCCACAAAAGCGTTTCGATTTATTTTTAAACCTAATTAATAAATTATTTTAATCATACTTGTGCTGGAATTATTGTATGTATACAAAGGAAGCACTTTGCTTACTATTACAGATAACAAAGCATCTAACAAGCAATAACAAATAACGAAACAAATGAAGTGATAACTTAAGCAGATAACAAATTTATGTAAGGTGTTCGAAAATCAATCCATGTAATAGCTATGGTGTGCTTATCCCGAATTCTAGACATACTCTTGCCTTGTCTACGACAGTTTATATTCCTATCTTTTGAAATGAATGAGGTCGCGTGACCAGCTTGTCACAAAAACCTCCAGTGTGAACTATAAATCTAGTCTACACATGCTAGTAGGTGTGGCCTCAGCAATCTTTTTAGTTCAATGGAAATTCAAGATATTCGTCCAATATGTAACAATGAATATAGAATTACGTGACTTCTTGCGGCTCTTATCTTTCTAAAATTACTCCATTTATTATTCAATAAGTCTGATTTTCCAATGATTTTTATAAATCAAATGACGTTTTAAGATAATGAGATTTCGTTTGACTCATTCATTATTATTGAGCTAAAGTAAGCACCTTACATCATATAAGTTTTAAAACTCAATTATTGGTGTGAAAGACAAACCCCAAACCCAATATAGTTATTGCATGGTTGGTGGAATGTAGACATTTAAGTGGATTTTCAAAGAAAGTATTATCAAACAAAATAAAAGCCTTTCACAAATGAATTTTAAAAAAAGAATTTGTAGAATATGTAGAATAGACTTGTAAAGAATATGTAGAATTTACAGCTGTAGTGAGCTTGTGGCTATTATTAATATTTTGTTAAATAAAAGTGACTCATCTCATATCAAATAACAATATTCCATGAATTAAAATGAAAAATTTTAGATGCTGAGAATTTGTGATTGCTATTTGTAACATTTTATGTATATTGTGGCAAATTAAATTATGTATTTGCTAAGATGGGATGATTAATTGCGGTAATTAAAGGGTTAAGAACTTAATGGTTCTGGAAATATATTGATGGGAACCCCAGAATAAAAATGAAAAAATTGAAATAGGATGGAATCGTATTTGCATATTGAATATACCAGTCATTGAATGGAGCAAAACAATTATCGATTTCAAAGTAAATAAAAAACAAAGCAAAAAATTAAGACCTAAAATAGAATCAAAAGGAAATTCGAAATTAAGGGGATCATGTATGTTTACGAAAAGTGGTAGTACAAGTCAGTAATGCTGTAACCCAATAGGTACGATGGTCACTCTAGGTAAGATTGTCATTGACCAGATTGGTATTTGAAATTTGGGAAAAGGTAGACGTAATAAAATAATCAAGATTAAAGGTTTACGATCATAAGAAAATGACTTGCCTTATCTAAATAAAAGCATAGCATTGGAAAAATCACTAAATGTTTCCAATTGAAAACAAACATATCCCCCCCTCCCTCAAAAAAATGTAGTCCCCACGTACAGGCGATATTGAAAAGAAAAATAATTTATTGCAGTTTGAAAGCTTCTTATTCACGTCTGACAAGGCTTATAAATGGGCGCCTATTTTTGAGAGCTTGAAACACTTCGCCTGTTATTTCCAACTTGTATTTTTTTCTTTTTTTTTGACGCGAATGAAGCTTTTCTTTTATCAAGTAACAATCATGACCAATTTGAAGAAAATTTGACGAATCATTTTTGATTTATCTTTCTTTTTATTTCAAAAATACTATATTTTACTGTCCTGATACTAAATACCCAATATTTATATTATTTATAATCAAAATCTGATCTTCTAATTATTGTCTTAATTCCCACATCACTATTTTTTTTTGATGTGCTGCAGGGATGCAAACTGTGCTTTAAGTAACATATTTTCTGAAGAGATACAGAATTAGAAACAGATTCTTGCAGATTTCATTTTCGTTTAATAATTCTGATACTTCTTTAAGAGCCTCACTCCGATATGACTGTAATACAATAGCACTTTGTATGAAAGTTTAAATTATTTATATGCAGTGTTGTGCAAAAATCACTGTAAACCAACTTTAAATAAAATGATAAAAATTTAATAAATTCTAAATTTTGCTACCACTATAAGAAGAAGCAAGTACTAATCGAGGTATGATGCCATCACGGAGGACCGTTCCATGACTTCTGAACTACTGAATAAATGTTTTTTAGTCACAGAATGCGATAAAAGTGGTTGAAAGTTTATTGCAAATAATAAAGCTATTATTTGTTCCCGCAAAAAAATATTTTGTTTATTAAACTCCAATGATTTTTTATTAAAAAACTATAAGCCAAGTAAAAACTATATATTTTTAACATCATCATTAAAATTTCATTATTAGTGTTTGAATTTACTTGTGACGACGAAAATCCTAGTTTTCATTAATGATTTATATTTAATTAACGACTTTATGCACAGTTCTCTAGTTTTCTGTAAATATTTTAACACAGCTGGAATCGAATGAATCTCGGTTAATCCTATCGATAAACATTGAAAATTTTTTTTTTACTTAAGCAGCACGCTACACGACTGAGGTTGTATTATGTTGGGCACGATTCAAGCGCAACAATCTCATGTTCGTTTAAATATCCCATTAAGCACGTCTCAGGGATCAGGTAGATGAAACTTTTCTGAAACGTTTGGCTGACGGTCGGGGTTTTGAGGCGATTACAATCGACTTGATTGGCTCGTTTCCAAGTGAATCTGATATTCTCTATGCTGGGTAATTGAAGAGGCATAATTGTAATTGTAGTGCTTCACGAAAAGAAGAAAAATCTGTTGTCAGCTGAAAGTCAGATTTATTTTGTGTTTGGAAGAAACAAATTTTAAACGATGTCAAATATCTATCGTTTATTTAATACGAAAAAGTACAATTGAACGTTATATTTGTTTTGTGTTGGAAACTAACTTTAAACAATGCCAAACATCTATTGTTCATTTAATACGGAAAGAGCAGCTGAAAGTGAGATTGGTTTTGCGTCAATAATAAATAAATTTTAAACAATGCAAAGCATCTGTTGTTCATTTAATACGGTATGAACAGCTGAATATCAGATAGGTTTTGCGTCAACAAGAAATAAATTTTAAACAGTGGAAAACATCTGTTGTTCAAATAGTGCGGAGCGTCAAACAGGCTTGGTGTCAATAAGAAATAAATTTTAAACAACGCCAAACATCTATTGTGCTCTTAATACAGAAAGAACAGCTGAACATCAG